CACTCCCCCTCCTCAGTTTCCTGCCTGTAGTTGCGGAGGCTGACTGGGTACATCTGACACTATAGGGACTGGGTGCCTGGGAACCTGGGACTAATTCCATTTCTTTAACACTCTTCAAACTTCCTATGCAGTACAAACAGTGACATGAATTGGATGTACTTTTCTGGCAGTTTTTGATGGACATGATGTCTATTATGATATATTCCATCTTGAAAACAAAACCTTCTTCTATATCATCTGTAATTTATAGTGAAAACTATTTATAAAGAACCTGTAAATGTAACCCTAACAACAGGAGCAATGGAAAGTCTGACAATGAAATGGAAATTAGAGACATCTTATTCCTGTTGTTGTAAAACTTATCCATTTGATTGAGATCATAAACTTTTAAGCAAACTATTGTGATATTCTATCACTCTCACACTGACTTGTGTGTGATTTTATTACTCTCACACTGACTAGTGTGTGATTCTATTACTCTCCCACTGATTAGTGTGTGATTCTATTCCTCTCACACTGACTAGTGTGTGATTCTATTACTCATACACTAACTAGTGTATGATTTTATTACTCTCCCACTGTCTAGTGTGCGATTCTATTACTCTCACACTGACTAGTGTGTGATTCTATTACTTTCCCACTGACTAGTGTGTGATTCTATTACTCTCACACTGATTAGCATGATATTCTATTACTCTCACACTGACTAGTGTGATATTATATTACTTTCCCACTGACTAGTGTGTGATTCTATTACTCTCCCACTGATTAGTGTGTGATTCTATTCCTCTCACACTGACTAGTGTGTGATTCTATTACTCATACACTAGCTAGTGTGTGATTTTATTACTCTCCCACTGTCTAGTGTGCGATTCTATTACTCTCACACTGACTAGTGTGTGATTCTATTACTCATACACTAGCTAGTGTGTGATTTTATTACTCTCCCACTGTCTAGTGTGCGATTCTATTTCTCTCACACTGACTAGTGTGATATTCTATTACTTTCCCACTGACTAGTGTGATATTCTATTACTTTCCCACTGACTAGTGTGTGATTCTATTACTCTCACACTGATTAGCATGATATTCTATTACTCTCACACTGACTAGTGTGATATTCTATTACTTTCACACTGACTAGTGTGTGATTATATTGCTCTCAAGTTGACTAGTCTGTGATAGACGCTGTCCAAACAAATCAGCTGATAACTGTAATATGATATTAATTGATATTTAATAAAAAAAACTTTTCATCCCTGTTGGCTGCAATAATATTGGAATCCTATTTCTTGAATCAGACATTGTCGGGACACATTGATCTGTGTCTATTTTCAACAGGCGTAATGGCTTGGCTCTTCTGGGTGAAACTTGCAGTGCAAAGTTAGATCAAATGGATTATTGAAGCCTGAATTAAGTAAAACCAGCATGGCATGTTTCCACATATTTGTTGTGTACACAGAGTATATCGCACTGACTAGAACTGTATATGTTGTCATTAAATGGCCGCCAGTTAATGGTGACCATTAGGGTCGTGTCTATCACTGCTCCAGTCTATATCGTGATGCCTCTGGTTTCTAATTTGGGGGTTTGTTTTACTGGTAAAAGCAACTTAACACTATTAGTGGTCGTGTGTTTCAATAGTACATCACACTCAGTAATGGCACTGCCAAGGGGAGGTAATCCATCCCATTAAGGAGGGGCATGAGGTGTTGGGGAAAAAAGATTCACCCCTGAAGACATATTTGAACTCTTCCAATTCATAGGTTGGAATAGTTCATTATGAAAAGTCAGGGGTGAATGAATTAACAAAATACTACTGCTAAGGGGAGGGATATGGGTGATTTGAAAAAAAACGTAGCTTAATTAATTTCACTGGTGATCTACCCCAGTAAGGAGGGGTGTAGGTTATTAGAAATAGTATGGGGGTTACTAATTTGTACTGGAAAGGGGAGGAAACCCCAGTAAGGAGGGGCCTGGGATATTGGGGAGAAAAGAGTGGTAACTTGCTTAATGTTGCTGCAAAGGGAAAAAATTCATCCAAATAAAATGGAGCATGAACAATTAATTATGAAGAAAAAGAGGAGAAAGTTTAAAAACAATGTTGTTGGTAGTTACATGTTTTTGAACTCATTCACTCCTGCATATCTAAACTGACTTTGCTAAGTCTTCAATTTGGTAAGGTTAAAATGTGACTTTAGGGGTGAATGGGTTAAATTGCAGACACAGATGGAGAATTAGACTGAGAAGGACAGGTAGTGGTATACGAGGACTATGTATTATGGTTAAGACTGATGAGCCAGGTTCAGTCCCGGGAGTTGGGGATGCTATGGACACTATTGATGGGAGGGGAGAGACTGTCTCCCAGACAACTATGAGTTGGGGGGGGGGGGACCTGTCTCCCAGACAATTATAATGACCCTGCTCACAATGATTTGATCCATCAATATAGCAGCAAAGGAAAGTTGATACACCATGCCATTTTGAATTTGATTATTTTGACTGTATGAAAGCATGTTATATCTTGTCTGTGTGACTAGTTCTAAAGCCCTTCTGGAGAAAAACACGAGTCAGCACATCAGGGTCCTGTTCACAAAACTGAAACATTTTAAAACTCCTATATCTCGTGCAACTGGTAGATCAAACTGTTGTTGGGAGGGCCCTGATTTTTGGGGTCACTTGCCTTTCAAAGTATTGAGACTAACAAACAATAAACAGTGCACAATGCCTAGCGGGTTGTGAGATGGAGTAAATAAGATGTTGGAGATAGCCGTGTCACTCTATACCGCGGCACTAATTTGATTGGGTTTCGTAGAATACACCTTGAATATCAAAAAAAATAAGGAAATATACTTACTTGAAATATTTTTTTAAATACTTAATGATTAGGAAAATAGAAAAAAAGGGTTTTGTTAGCATACAGGTATTAATCTTGGCTAGACATGATTAACTCTTTGTGTTGTACATTACAATCATGTAGCTATGACAATGCCATTCTCTTAATGAATATTTTGTTTACCTGAAAATAGAGGCAAGCACAATTAAACATGACTTTATTCTTGCCAGCACTGTACTCTCTACTATCCCTGGCTCAATCTCCCACTGGCCAGCACTGTACCCTCCACTATTTCTGACTCAATCTCCCACCGGCCAGCACTGTACTCATCACTATCCCTGGCTCAATCTCCCACTGGCCAGCACTGTACTCTCCACTATCCCTGGCTCAATCTCCCACTGGCCAGCACTGTACTCTCTACTATTTCTGGCTCAATCTCTAACTGGCCAGCACTGTACTCTCCACTATCCCTGGCTCAATCTCTCACTGGCCAGCACTGTACTCTCCACTATTCCTGGCTCAATCTCCCACTGGCCAGCACTGTACTCTATACTATTTCTGACTCAATCTCCCACTGGCCAGCACTGTACTCTCCACTATTTCTGACTCAATCTCTCACTGGCCAGCACTGTACTCTCTACTATTTCTGGCTCAATCTCTCACTGGCCAGCACTGTACTCTCCACTATCCCTGGCTCAATCTCCCACTGGCAAGCACTGTACTCTTTACTATTTCTGACTCAATCTCTCACTGTCAAGCACTGTACTCTTTACTATTTCTGGATCAATCTCTCACTGGCCAGCACTGTAATCTTTACTATTTCTGACTCAATCTCTCACTGGCAAGCACTGTACTCTTTACTATTTCTGGATCAATCTCTCACTGGCCAGCACTGTACTCTTTACTATTTCTGACTCAATCTCTCACTGGCCAGCACTGTACTCTCCACTGTCCCTGACTCAATCTCTCACTGGCCAGCACTGTACTCTCCACTCTCCCTGGCTCAATCTCCCACTGGCAAGCACTGTACTCTCCACTATTTCTGACTCAATCTCTCACTGGCCATGGCCAGCACTGTACTCTTTACTATTTCTGGCTCAATCTCTCACTGGCCAGCACTGTACCCTCTACTGATTTGGACACAATATCTCACTTGCCAACACTAAAAAACCCATCCTACTATCTCTGTTCATAAGACTTACTTATTAACTCCACAGTGACTTAGTCCTATATCACTAGACTTACACAAATCCACAGTGACCTAGTCCTGCATCACTAGACTTACTCAAGTCCACAATGACCCATTTCTCTATCACTAGTTAGACTTCCCAGTGACCTTATGATATATAAGAACTTAGTACCTAGACTGGCAAACTTAGCACTAGTCATGGTTTAGTATCCATTCAACTCACCTGCTTTATATTATATTTTAACCTGTTTATTAATTTCCATAAAAGATCATTGTACTGTTTACCTGTTGGTAATTCTCACCTGGTTAACAGGTACGAACTCATTGGGTTAGGAAACTTCCAGTACAGATATGCATCAGCTCTCGACATCCCTGACACTCTGATACAGATGGGAGGGATTTAAAACCTCTCCACCAAATCACTTCTACATATTACTCACCTTTGCCTTTCTAATATATCATCTATATAATTTCCTTCTTCCTTCCAAATTTGATTAAATTTTTGTTGAAATTGCTTAATTTTTAATCTGGAACTAAAAGTTGGCACTCGTGTGGTGAAGGTTTCTGATGCATGCTGACTGATTGGACGCTATTTTTCTAATAGACACTTCACTGAAATTCTTCTGAAGAACTTCTGGAAGGACAGATTAATGTGTAAGTTGTAGATAGGCCTATCAGACCATCAGAATGTCATATTCCATTTAATATGAATTTCATGTCCTTCTTTTAGGCTTGAGTAATTAGAAAAAGAGCGATAGAAAAATCTAATTTTGGCTGATGGATGAAATGAAATGGGATAAAAATGACTCAGATGTCATTTAAACATATTTATCAGTATTTTAATTTCCAAAGCTGGATAATGATGAGTTTAATGGGAATGTTTTCACTACTTGTATGACCTTGACTGGGAAAGTCTCACAAGTGTTGAAGCAGTAGGTATTGATAACTACTAACTCATTGACCCTGGCCTCACAGTCACAGTCGAGCAGTCTTTAGGGGACATAATCCCATAGTCATGACAAGGCCATTCCAGAGAGCTTCAGTATACCAGAGTCACAACAAGGCCATCCCAGAGGGCTTCAGTATACCAGAGTCACAACAAGGCCATCCCAGAGGGCTGCAGTATACCAGAGTCACAACACCACCATCCCAGAGGGCTTCAGTATACCAGAGTCACAACAAGGCCATCCCAGAGGGCTGCAGTTCCCATAGTCACAACACCACCATCCCAGAGGACTGTAGTATCCCAGAGTCACAACAAGGCGATCCCAAAGGGCTGCAGTTCCCATAGTCACAACACCACCATCCCAGAGGACTGTAGTATCCCATAGTCACAACAAGGTGATCCCAAAGGGCTGTAGTATCCCATAGTCACAACAAGGCCATTCCAGAGGGGTGTAGTATCCCATAGTCACAACACCACCATCCCAGAGGGCTGTAGTATCCCATAGTCACAACAAGGTGATCCCAAAGGGCTGTAGTATCCCATAGTCACAACAAGGCCATTCCAGAGGGGTGTAGTATCCCAGAGTCACAACCAGGTCATCCCAGAGGGCTGCAGTATCCCATAGTCACATCCAGATAGTCCAAAAGAGCCACAGACTTCAACAGTCATGATAAGGCCATTCCAAAGAGGAACCCTATAGGACAAAGGGATGGGACCCAAAAGTGTAAGGGTGTTGCTGAGAGACGGATCCATTGTTTGGAAATATTTTCAGTGTAATGTTTAATGAGGATATTTTGCCATGATTGCTTAAATAAGGTGAGCAAAACAGGGCCTCTTGTTTGTCCGAGTATTACCTGTGATATCTACCTGTTGAGAACTACCTGTTGATTACTACTGACGCCCCTGTTACTTAGCAATATTGATATAGAGGAAGTCTCTCCCGTAATATAAGGACAGAATGAAGTGATGTAGATGTCTTGATGGCCAGACTGACGACTCGAGACGTCTCACATCCATTGGTTTTTGAAGTGGTTGATCCCACATGAGGACATGCGACTTATTCCATTATATCTATTGTTATATATATGACGATTGGCTAAAATCCTTGTTCCCATGACAACAGCTGTCCATCACTCCCTTGCTTCCTGCTTCATTTCCGTCAATGGTTAGCTTTGCGGTCGACCTTTGACATCCGTCCGAGTCTTCATTAGCAAGCTGGCTCCAAGGGCAGGTTTGTGCTATATATATATATGTAGACCAGAATGGCCAGGTATGTCATTTACTAGGAAGGGGCCTTGAACTTGGGTCTGGAATGACAAGGTACGTTTGTTAGATAGTTTTTGTCAAGGCATCACAGGTTTCCACCTGTGGATGAGATCATTCTTTTGATGTGGGTATTTTATTGTTTTGTGTGTAATCAATTTACCTTTAGCTTTTTTGTGTCATTTTCGTCAATGAATTCGGAGTTGCACGTGGCACGTCGGCTGTCAGTGATACATGTACTTAACAGTGTAAGTTGTTTGGTGTCGTCAGGCACAGGAAATCTACAAATTATACTGTTTTTGTTGAAATTATATTAAAGTCTATATTTGAGAAGTGTATTGGTCTGGGTTTTTTTTTATCAGAGAAGTTAAAAGGCTGGCTGTCATTAAAAAGCTCAGTGTGCATTCCTGCCTGTACTGTCAACATTCCCCGACACAGTTATGTGACAAGTTTCAGCACGGCACACAAAATGCATATTTTGAACCTGATTTAAACATAGTTTATATATACCGAAAATCTGAGGTCATCTTGGGGTTATCATACCAATATACCAAACTACATACTTACACATATCAACGACCTTAGTGACATCACCAAGGTTGTGTGCTCCTGTTTCAGTGTACCTACAAAAAAAACCAACATCTTACATAAGTTTGTGTAATGGAGGAGTGACAGAAGATAAAGTCAGGCGTAGATCCCTGGGCAGATAGACAGCTGTAGCCCTGGTAGGGTTTTATCAATGAAAACTTATCATCTGTGGGTCACACAGGATCTCCGCTTCACTTTCATACAAAATGTCTTATTTATGCAAATTATACCTCTACATTGATGGATGTTCCTGAAAAGAAATAAATCCCAAGATGGTCCATTAATTTTGAGGTGAAAAAATTTGAGGGAAATGATGATATTGACAAGCTTATAGAATAAAATAAAAATGTTGACATGTGTAAGTATAATGAGATTTTGACAATGATGTACTTGTGTTTCGTGGCCCAGCGCCATTGATGACGGGATAAAAGGATGGATAAAGTTTGAGTGTAATGTACGGATCAACACGACCCTATCAACTTTCTGAAGTTTTCATTGGCAAGAAAATTTGGAGTAAAATTTGCCGATTTCTGTTATACTTATATGCCATTCCTATATGACAAAATAGAATTGTAAAATCATTTATTTTAGCTGTTTTATTCAATAGTTTAATTTAATTTCAGTTTGAAAGAAAGGCTAAGGAACTATACTTATACCAAATGTAACAATATGATGTAATTATGAACAAATCAGGAGAGTTCCCCACAAAATTGGGAGGGTCGACAGGTACGTCAGAATTGTGTAAATCGTGGAACAAGTCGTGATAAAACCAGGTGTGAAACCTCGTTATAGAATGATGCCCGACAGAATAAACAAGTGTAAAATAAAGATTTCTACACGGTAAAAAGACAAAAGCAATTACCTGTTAATGTTGAAGGAACAGGGAGCACCAGTCTGTGGTTGTACTTTTATACTTTAATAAAAAATATAAAAGCTTGCAATAAATCTTAAGCTACAAACCTAATTCTCGTTAGCCCCTAACTGAGACATGGGATGTCCGCATGTTGACTGTTTGTCCTGACTAAAACAAACTTAGGGAGTTGACAGGTAACACATTAAGATGTTGCCTCGTCAGCTCTTTACCTGGACGAGATATTGTTTTCGTTTGGTCACAGGTATACTTTCTCACCTGGACCAAACCTGCGTGAACACTCATTGTGATATGCTGAGTACGGGGGATGAACAGAAACACTACACACTGTTAGGGATCTGGTGTCCCTTACCGGCCAATGTTTTACTACCCAGGGGTCAGAGGTCATGCTACATAATTATATCACGGTCAAAACACAGGTTCAGATTTCCATATTTTCGTGAGATATGGGCTTGTTCAACAGGAAAAGCATCTATTTAAAGATTTTAAACTTGTACTTTTTTCCTGAGGTTATCTTGATAATACATGTAATTATAGTGTAGCCTGCTGTTCACTGGTACACCATAGTAATATTGACATATCATATCAAATTTCAGAAATTCTTACATGCTTTTCCTCCGAAACCCTTATCTTCATTTCTTGTTCAGTTTAAATGTTATGATTTGGCTTCCTCTGATACCTAGCTATTTGCAGACTTGCTGCATTTAGATAATTTTCCTCATATTTCTATTGATGTTTGGTATTCCTCTTCATCATTTGACGGTAAATAACAATGTGGCAGATTCTAATTGTACATAGGATTAAGGTCACCTTCTAGCTTCGAGCTAGAGGGAATTTCCCTTTAGCTCAGTGGTAGAGCGTCTGACTAGGAACCTAGGGATCGTGTGTTCAATCCCCGGTGAAAGCACACTATTCTCTTTCCTGTTACATTAATATACATTTATGTGCAGCTCTTTATAATTAAATGGTTTTAAGGCTGCCTGTTGTAAAATTGTCAGAACTGATTTGGTACAACTACTATATTTGCAAATATAGACTAGGCAGTAAATCCATGGGAATGTTGTGGATGTATGTAGCACAAAGACAATACTGTCTATTGCAAGAAATAAAGATATATATATAATCTATGAGTTTACATTAAGGTGTTTTACAGTCTAAAACGCTTTGTTCATGTGTATTTCACCTAGTTATCTATACGATCTAGGTTGTAATATTAATTGTATTGTTATGACATAAGACCCAGTAGGGTGTGGTGGATATTTGGTGAGTTTAAACCCTAACCTTCTGATGACAAACCCAATATTTGATGTAATTTTGATGTGAAAGTTACAGAAAATGTTGCTGGAATTTTTTCTGTTACTTTCCAGGATGACCTTTAGATTGTGTGTGCCATGTATTTAAGTGATCTGAGACATGTAGGGTCTGTCAACTGTACGTCACAGACCAGGCGGATTACTGTAACAACCGTCCACATGCACTTACATTGGCCAAACATTTATCTTATGAATGACAGAGTAAAAATCAATCTGAAGACATGCTTATAAACTGTGTTAAGGGTCGGAGGTCAGTCATAATCATCTACAATGGCATTTATTTATTGATTTTTTTCTAGGGCTTTCTAATGTACTTTGAGCCTGGTATTTTGTCCTGTACAATCATTGTCATGTCATGATAAGTGTTTTACATGGGTACTAACACACTTATATAGTGAGCGGTAAGCCAGGGATAGGGGGAGCAGATTACATATAGATAGTGCTGCTCCTGTCAGGGACACTCAGGAGGGGGTACACATGTTATACTGGATGAGGATGGGGTTCACATGTTATACCGGGGGGAGTAGGGGATACACATGTTATACTGGGGGGAGGAGGGGATATACATGTTATACTGGATGAGGATGGGGTACACATGTTATACCGGGGGAAGGAGGGGGTACACATGTTATACTGTGGGGAGGAGGGGGTATACATGTTATACTTGGGGGAGGAGCGTGTACACATGTTATACTGGGGGGAGGAGGGGGTACACATGTTATACTGGGGGAAAGAGGGCATACACATGTTATACTGGGGGAGGAGGGGTACACAGGAGGAGAAGGAGGGGTACACAGGAGGAGAAGGAGGGGTACACAGGAGGAGAAGGAGGGGTACACAGGAGGAGAAGGAGGGGTACACAGGAGGAGAAGGAGGGGTACACAGGAGGAGAAGGAGGGGTACACAGGAGGAGAAGGAGGGGTACACAGGAGGAGAAGGAGGGGTACACAGGAGGAGAAGGAGGGGTACACAGGAGGAGAAGGAGGGGTACACAGGAGGAGAAGGAGGGGTACACAGGAGGAGAAGGAGGGGTACACAGGAGGAGAGGGAGGGGTACACAGGAGGAGAAGGAGGGGTACACAGGAGGGGGAAGGAGGATAACAATGGAAGAGCTAAGCTGATCAATAAAATCCCATTGAACCAATCTTCAGTCTAAAAGCTAGATTCAATGTTGGTGACAAGAATGGCCGGTCAGAAACAGCAGCCAATCTGTAACATCACAGTGTCACCCAGGCAGTAGCACCTATGATGTTAATGGTCAATCATATGAAATATTATGGACTGCGTGGACCTTCCTCTGTCATTGACCT